ATATATATATATATATATATATTATTATACTTATAAAATAGAGTATAATAATCATTCCACTTATTATGGAAAATACTATCCATATAGGTATCTGGTGGGTGTCTAGTACAGTAAAAAGTAGGAGATATTTGGTAAAATTTATAAGTGTTTTAATTTTTTGATATTATTTATATTTTATAAATTTAAATTATTTTTAAAAAAATTTATATCTTTTAATTTTTTTTAATTTTAAAAATATCTTCAACAATAAATTTTGAAAAACTTTAAACTTTTATTTTTTATAAATTTTTTAAACTTATTTTTTACTCATTTTTTATTATTTTTAAAAATAAATTTAAAATTTTTTTTCTAACAAAAATTAAAACTTATAATTTATAAATAATACTAAAAAAATAAAAACTCTAAAAAATTTCATCCACCATGCCTTAAATCAAGTTATATAGTATCCATGTTACAAGTTGGGCATAGGAAGGGTGTCCATATTACAGGAATTAGGTGGCGAAGACTGGGCGTTGGGGGAACTGTACGGAATAGTTTCCATTGGGCGTGGAAGCTACCAGAACTTCTACAATCATTTAATCACGTGTGTCTTTGGTTTTCACGATTATAAACTACTTTCTTCCCCAACTTTTCACGAGCAAGTGGGCTTATAATTTTGACTTTTCTTTTGTGGACTTTTTGGAATGAAAAATAATATAATTATAATGTTATTTATATTATAAATATAAAATTATAATGTATTGTGATTTAATTTTTTTACTTAAATATTTATTTATTTATTTGTAAATTATAGTGATTTTAAATTTTTAATTGTAATTTTTAATTATAAATGATTTTTCTTATCTAATTATTTATATTCCATTATGAATATAACTTAAATTTACCATTAGTACTATTGATTATACTTTTGATTTTAATTAAACTATAATACTTTGAGATGAAAATTTAGTTGTAATTTTTTTATTTTAATATAATTTTTTTTATTTTTAATAAAAATAAATTATAATTATAATAAACTCAATAATTAAAATTTTAAATTAAAAATTTTAAATTTAAATATTAAAATAAATTGAGAAAAAAAAATTTCATTACATAATTGATCATTCTAAGTAAAAAATAAATAATTGCATATTTCAAAATGTAACAACCCATAAAAAAATAAAAAATAAATAAATAAACCCCACCCTCTAAGTCATAACCGTAACTAGTAGCAGCGGCCCAAATCTTATGAAAATCATACGAAGTGCCCCATATATTGGACAAGACTAGACTAGAGAACTTTAAAAGTAGGCTGTTAGTATTTACAACTAGTGGCAATAAATTTTGATTGAGTTTTTCCTCACAGAGTGGGCACATTTCTTTAATCGCATGTGATAACCATCCTGGCATTAACAATATCAAGTTGCTTTTGAAATTACTACTGTATTTGATTCAATAGGATTGGATGAATTGACAACCCCAAGAAGATGTGATCGCAGAAATTGAGAGAAATTAATATTTGCCATGATCTGAAGAAAGAAAAAACAAATAAATATTGCATTAAACATTTTTGAGCTACTTATCAGACGAAGGAGGGGTTGATATTCATATCCTTGAAGCAATCAAATTAGGCAAAGAGGACCAAAACCATTCCTTTTGACTTCAATTCCCTCTGAATGGCAGATTCCAACTATTAGTCATCAGCCTGATTTGCAACTTACTCAACCCCAACCCGACTCGACCTAACTATATCTCAACTCTATTCAAGGAAGGAATAATAATACAATATCTGCATATAGATGGTTAAATACGCAACAGAATTCAATAAGGGATGAGGTTTTTTTGAGTTTGGACTGACCAGATATGTAACTGGCAAAACGTTTTTAACATCAATGGAGAATGGAAAGGATTCCCTATTCCAGATTCCACATCTGAGGAAAGGAGGTGTTTTGCACGAAATTTAATATTTGAGTAGGTGAGGAGGTTACGCAATAAAATCCCACCAGCTCCGGTATTGTGCCTTCTGCGCATTAAAAAATCAAAGTTGCAGCTTTCAGTGTCACCCTGGAATTCCATCCAACGCATTTAAATATGAATTAGGTAATATTGAACTTTTTTTTATAAACAAATCAAATTATTGAGAATAATTATTTAATATATTTTACTATCATTATACTCTTAAAAAGAGAAAGAGTTAGATCAATTTACATTTAAATATTACACATAATTTTTATATAAAATTTTAATTGTTTATATTTTTTATTATAAATAATTAAAGTTTATTTATTAATTTTTTTTGAAGTTAATTTTTTTTAAATATAATAAATCTTAATAAATTATGGTGTGTGAAATTTTATCTCATATCATAATCAACATTATCAAATGAGAAAAGGCTTCTGGGATTTTTATTTTCTACTAAGATCTAACATCTTTTTTTTTTAATCTTTCTTTTCTATTGACCCAAATAGATAGTAGGTTCTTTTATATTTTCCAAAAAATTCAAATCATACATTGTGCAGATGAGATGCAAAAAATGGTTTTGGAACTTAGGAGAGTTTACTTATTAGGAAAAAAAAAACAGTTTGAACCTCCACTTCTACACAAAATAATTACGGTTTTGAAGGTAGTGTGCTCTACTACTTATGTCTATTTTCCAGACTACAGCATCTACTACACATATGCTAACTGCCAACTCCCTTTTTTTCAGCAAATTAGGTAACTAACAATTTGAACCAAATTACTGATGTTGTTGAACTAACAATTAGCTGTCCAATGACAGTTCTGGTTCATCTTGAAGGCCTCTTAGGTTCCATTACCTTAGGCGAAGTTTTTGTAAAAGTGATGATGGACTGATGGAGTTATCAATTCATCAAGAATGGTAGATGTGGAGGCTCATAATTAGTATCTTTTGTGGACCACCAATACGGTATTTTTGAAAATTTCCCCTGCTTTCTATGCCACCATGTTGGGTAGCCTCCTCGTTTTTGGTACACCTCAAGTTTGGACGTTACCTACTTTTGTCTTGCAGTAGTTTAAAACTTCTAATCTTAACTTTAGTTAAAGTTTTTAAGTTAATGAATATAACTCAATTAAACTCATATCAAAAAAGAGAAATAGTCTATTATATTTAATATAATAGTTTAAAAAGGTCAAGTAATAAATTTTATGAATTTGAGTATCTCTTATACTCATATAATAAATTTTATTTACTTTTCAAAAAAAAAAAAATTAAAGAGCCAAGTAATGCTAAGCTATATATCAATTAAAGAATATATTCAATTTTTTTATACTCCCTCTGTTCCTAAATATTAGTCGTTTTAGGCATTTTCACCAGGATTAAGAAAAGCAATTAATCACTCTCAATTTGAGCAATAAATATATTTAAAGTACTATTTTACCCTTTTTCCACTTCGATTCTTGCGTTTTACTGGTTCATCTTTGTGGGTAGCTGGGAAGGGTAAATTTGAAAAAAAAAAGTTAATGCAGCATTAAAATCTCAAAACGTCAAATAATTAGGAACAAATTTTGGCCGCTAAAACGACTAATATTTCGGGACAGAGGGAGTATAAATAAAACAGAAATCTATGTTGTTAAAACTTAAAAAGTACAACACATTACACAAACTGAAAGCAGTACAATGCAGGAACTCATGTCCAAGTTAAATCTCCTCAAAGTAAGAAAATTGCACGGCTAAAATAACAGCCCCCTTTTTGTCAAAAAAAAAAAAACACACACACACACACACACATAAACAAAC